AATATTATATGAATTTTAATAATTTATTCGGATTTTTTTGAATCTTTAATTCGACCGATTCAGTTGATTCCCGATCCGGATCGCCGATTCGCAGATGCGGATCGGTTTTTGAGATGCCCGATCCGGGTCACCGATCCGCTTTTTAAACCATTGGTTCTACCTCTTGACATCCCTCCTCATCCTCATCACAATCATCATCATCATAACTGATCCGAACCCCAAACCTAATCTCTGCTATGGAGGCAAATTTCTAATCCTTTTTCATTTTTACCATACTAAAAAATGTGGTTATTTTCTCTTTAACAGCATCAGGAGTCTTTTTACATGGGGCAACATCCCCCCGATATCGGCAAGATGTTTCAAGAGCCGGTTTATGCCTTTTTTGTATCCTTCTCACAAAACTTGGATCTTATACAATTTTTATCATTAAGCTCTGGGTTGTAACCGTATTTTCAATCGGGATCACCACTCCTATTAGATCCCGAAGAAGACATCTCAAAATAATACAACTTATACAAGCAATAAAAAACGTCACTTACTTTGAGTTTGATTGCTCAATCTCCAAACTTCTACTTTAAAGATGCTTCGAAGGACTCAAAATCTTCTAAAAAATCCCCTAATAGATTATAAAACATAAAAAATAAATCTAATATCAATGGGTGATGTTTTGATCAATTTCTTAACTTTGAGAAACCTTCGATCCTAAAGAAATCACAAAAAACTAGTTTTTTGGGGGGATTTCTCTCTCTAAAATGGGCTCTAATGAGTTTTAGGTTTCAAATGAACCGAAAACCTACATTTTTGGCCCCTTAGTCTCAAAACAAATGGTAAAAAATGCCCCTACCTAGTGCCTTTTTCGCCTTTGGGCGGGGCGCAGTCCCTGGGCGACCGCCTAGGCGGGTTCCTGGGAGCCTAGGCAGGCGCCCAGGGTTTTCCACCTATTTTTGGTGCCTAAGCTTAGGCGATGCGCCCAGCCCCCTGGACCACCTGGCAGCCTCCCAGGCGTTGAGCGGTCCGCTTTTTGAAACACTGATAATGATGGTGATGTTGTATGTATGCATGTGTGTGTATGTGTGTCTCTATGGCCGTGTCACTGAATCCTACTTAGTGGGGCATGAATAATCAAACACCCTATAGTTGTGTCCTACACCGGCATGTGTACCTGTATCCATGCAACATTACCTTTTCCTCTTCTGGAAAAACCTGTTTTTCTGCTTGTAGATACTCAGGGATTGTCACTTTTGCAACTTATTGATTAATGGGGATAATCAATGATTTTGAGATATTATGCCTTTAAGTGAACGTTTGAAATCATCATGAGAAAGTGCATATGTGCATATGTGCTACTTAATATTATGAGCCATCTATGAAACATTGACGTGCATGTCTCGGGGTCTAACCATGTGTTAGCACTTGGGTGACACAGATATGTGTGTTCAAACCGCTTGAAAGGTAAACATCATAGTCAATGAATGTCCAACGATGCATCCACTTTTGCGACACATTGCAATTTGAGAATACGGCATTTCTTTTTTTAGAAACATCATTCTTTATGAAACATTTCTTTTTTGACCTTTTTTTTTTTTCTTAGGGTTTACTTAAGTCATTTTTCCTAAAAGTAAAATTATCCATGTTTTTCATGTACCAATAAAACCAAGTCTCTCTCTCTCTCTCTCTCTTGCAAGTGCGCTGCCTCCCCCCCTCCCCTCAAAAAAAAAGGTGAATTTCTCTCTCGCCTCTTCTTCAACGCTCCCATTCTTCCCTTTTTCTCTTGATGTGTAAGGTCATTCATATGTTCAACCCATATTATCTTTTTCTTATATTTATTTTAATCAACTATTAATATTTTTGTATTCGAGGGTTGAGCATTGTATTGTACTAAAGAGCTCCTTGTTTTGGGAAGTTTTAGTAATTGATCTCTTTATAAATAGTTTTCATTACCACGTAATATGCAAATTAATAATGTCTGTAACGAGTGTTATGATTAATAGTTGTTGTTTCTTATTGTATGATTCCTAGAGCGAAAGCCGTTGCTAACGCGCATCTGTTTTTTTGCAAGAAGCAACGAGTAGCCTAGCGCGAAAGCCGTTGCGCTAACGTGCAATAAAGAGTCCGGCGATAATTCTTGTTTTTTGGGCAATTTATCAAAATACACCTAACTTTTCAACAATTTAACATTTTACCTTCTTCAAGTACTTTTAACTCTAGGGCTGGCAATGGGCCAGGTGGCCCGTTTGGCTCGGCCCTTCAAATATAGGGCCTTGGCCACTTGTGGGCTGGCCAGGGCCTCACCATCATGGCCCAAGGGGTGGGATGGGCTGGGCCAAGGCCATGACAGGGCCGGCCCAGCCTTGGGTGGGGCTTGGTCCATGGCGGCTTTGGCCCAAGGGGCCAAGGCCAACATGGCCCACGCCCAGCCAGTTGCCAAGCCAAAATAACTCATCTTTATGTGTATTTTGATGGGTATTTTTTTTTGAGAAAAAAAAAGGAGCGTTCTGCCACTAAGCATATAAGTTAACCGTATTTTGATGGGAATTTTAAAATTAAAGTTAAAAGGTTGGGTAAAATGTTAAATAATATATCCCTCATGTGTATTTTGATAAATTTCCCTTGTTTTTTTAATTGTTTTGGTTATTTCATTCAACAAAGACATGGGACGTTGTTTACATAACATAAATTTGTAATCATAGAGACTTTATTACAAGCCATTTATTGCCTAGTAATTAGCCCGTAAAAGAGCCTAATAATTTAGGGTTTTTTCCATGTTTTTGTGATGCAACCTTGGATTGGGCTATAATAATTTTTTGATGAATAAAACTCAGATTCACGGAGCAGCAATCCATGCTTTGTTGATTTAATTTTATTTTATTGATGCTTTACTATTGCTAGGATATGCAAATTGTAGTGTATGAAAATGCAGCTATGAATTTCACAAATTTGTATGTATTTATGTATCTATACATGCGCACACACTCATGCTATCATGTATTATACGAATGTGTTGTGTCTAGATGACCTTTTCTAGCGTTCGCGTTTCTATCGCTTGCATCTGTTTCACAAATGGACATGCATTTCCATTTGTATGTAACATAGGTGTCATGAGTTCTTTATGAAGAGCAATTTTTCGCCTTGTAATCTTCAAAATATGCATTTTTTAATTTACTCATCTCTTTGTATGAATCTTGTCAGATGCTAATTGTACAGTACTTGGATATCTTTAAACAAATGAACAAGTAAAATCATGGGTTACTACGTGGATTCAATCTGTTTCGTGCCATGGAACATAATCTGGCTCTTGTGATGCATCATTAGCTTGTTTTTTTTTTTAGCTGACCATGACTGTTCCATCAAATTCTTAACAGAACATGTCTTTTTGTTCTATTAATTCAAGATCAGGGGTTATCATGAGTTGCCTCACTGCTTCAGGATATGGTTCCTGCACAAATCAAGTCAGTAAGTTATGTTACTTTGTGGATTCAATCTGTTTCAAGCCATGGAACATTTTTGCTGGCGGTTGCAATGAATCATTAGCTTGTTGTTTTCTTTAGCTGTCCATGACTGTTCCATAAAATTCTTTGCAGAACATGTCATTTTGTCCTATTAATTCGAGATCAGCGGTTATCATGAGTTGCCTCACCGCTTCAGGATATGGCTCCTGCACAAATCAAGTCAGTAAGTTCTTATATCTTATTCCAAGTCCTTTTTTGTATTTCCAATACTAAATCTTTATGGTTTGGTTATTTGGACTTTGTTTGGCTTATTTGAATTGTCTTGAACTTTCCAAGAAGAAAAAAGAAACTGAATATTTTGTATGGCATCACTGATTGATCCTAATTTTTCTTTCATTTGTTTTCCTCAAGATAATTTAAAGCTTCAATAGTTTTGAATACTTCTAGTAATGTGTAGCATCCACTGTACTACTTCCTGTCAACTGGATATACCTGAGGCATTAAGATGGTGGAATTTTTTAATTCTAGAACATAGAAATTGACTTAAAAAATAAACAATAGAAATATTCTTTCTGATATGCTGATGCAAGTATAAATGAATAATTGTACTTCAATTATATCGATCAGAAAAAAAAAAAAGGGTAAAAGAAAAACAAGAAATGACACTTGAATTACTAACTTTTCCATTTCATTTCTTCTTTTCTTGGAGGGTTTGGGATGTATTTATGATTCTGTGATCAAAATTTCACCTAAATATTTTGACCTTTATGGCCTGATTAGAATGAAAAAGAGCTTCATTTTCACTTTTCTTAGGCAATGATTAATTTTTTGCAGCTCACCTTTGTACAATGTTTAGTCATAAGCAGGCAATTCTTTATGTTGGTAGACACTCCTCAGGATTGGTGATTTTTTGTTTCTTATTACAATTTGATTTCTTTCAAAATAATTTGAAATTTGAATGGGAAACGCAATCAACCTTTGTATGTATGTATGTATGTATGTATGTATGTGTATTGTATTTATGTATGTAAGATGTGTAACGTATGTATGTATGCCTATAGATCGTTTTAAAGTTCATTCCAGCCAAATCTCCATCAAAAGAAGGGGAAAAAAAATAACAGCAGTAATTTACCATTTTTCCTGGAATATGGGATATTTATGCCTTTCCTCCCATGATTTATTCTGCAGAATCACTTGCTCATATGAAATCAGTTTTGTCATTTTTCTTTTTTGAACCATATGGAATATTCATACCTTTCTTCGCAAGATATATAACAGTTGCTTGTTCACAAAAGACCCATTTGACCAATGTTGCTCTCTCTTAAGCATGGAATATTCACTCCCTTCCTCTCAAGATTTATAACACAGAATCACTTGTCTTTATACACTTCTCATCTTCTATTTATGTGTTCTACTAATTCTTTGCTTCTCATTCATGATCTCAGTTATGGTTGTCGTTACATAACTTCTCGTCTCTCGCTTCTCTCTGACCTATCTTAGAATGAACCCTGCAGCACTCTCTGACCTCACATTAAGGAAACTCCACCCCAGCCACTACACAATGAGCAAACTATATGTGACCCGCCTCCTTAAAAGACTAGTCACAAGCGCCCTAGGACCCACCACCGAATCTACGAAGGTTGCTTCACAAGGAGCCGAGGTACACCAAAGGTCCACCGAATGGTTCGAGCTAAGACGAGATAGGCTTACGAGTAGCTCATTTAGTACTGCCCTAGGGTTTTGGAAGGGTCGAAGAGCTGAACTTTGGGTTGAAAAGGTTTTCTCAAGTGACCCAAACCACCCCAACTCTGCTGTGGCTGCCATGAGTTGGGGCGTGGTCAATGAGGCATCAGCGATAGAGAGATACACGAGCATAACAGGTCGTGAAGTGACCCAATTGGGCTTCAAAACCCACCCTAATGAGGCCCAATTAGGCTGGCTTGGTGCCTCACCTGATGGGCTCATAAGTGGGCTTGGTGGTGAGCTCGTATGTGGGCCTAGTGAAGGAATACTTGAGGTGAAGTGCCCCTTTAACAAGGGAAGACCTGAGTTGGGTCTACCTTGGCCTTCAGTTCCTTACTATTACATGCCCCAGTTGCAGGGTTTGATGGAGATTTTAGAGAGAGACTGGGTGGACCTCTATTGTTGGACCCCTAATGGGAGTACATTGTTTAGGGTGGAGAGAGACAGAGAGTATTGGGATTTGATTTATGGGATTTTGAAAGAGTTTTGGTTGGAACATGTGGTGCCAGCTAGAGAGGCATTGTTGGCCTCTGAGGATGAGACAGCGGTGCGTCGATATATGCCTTTGGCTAAGCATGCGCGTACTAACAATGTGATTGGCCAAAGTCGGGTTTTGGCTGCTGAGGCTCGATTGTTATGTAAGGACATTGGTGGTCAAGTCGAGTTCTTTAGGTAGAAAACACTAATGGGGAAGGAGAGAGAGATGGGGGAGAGAGAAGATCATCCCCAGTCAAAATCTGAAGAGATAGAGCGAGGGGGGAGGAAGATCATTCTAAATCAATCTAAAGTAGAGGGAAAGATGATTTCAGTCCATTTGCTGGTTTTATGTTCTTATTTCATGATGTAAGTGGGGGATTATGAATGCATTGATCTTTTGAGATTGGTTCTGATTGTTTTGGCCCAAAGGCATTTTGGGAAGAGTTGCATTCTTTGTACTTTTAACCTATCAAAAAGGGGAAAAATTTATGTATGTTATGTATTCAATGTTTATCATGAAGATCATTGTGATTACTATTCTGTATTATTGTGCTGTGTGTGTGTGTGTGAGAGAGAGAGAGAGAGAGAGAGAATAATTGGCTGTCTGTTTTGGTAGCTTGCAACCAAGTTTCTGTAATCTTTCTAGCACCCTCCAGTCGACAGCCTTGATGTTTGATTATTTTCTTACCTTAAGGTCATGGTGAAATTTAGGATTTGGACTATATGGTTTGAATTGGAAATTATGACTCAACCTAATGAAATGAAAAATGAAAAGGGGAATTTTAGGGCTGGGTCACTGGTGGTTTTTGAAGTTAATCAGAGATTTTTAAAGGATTGAAACAGTGTTAGAAGAATGCGTTAGTCTACGGTACTAGGCCCTTGGCTGAGGTGAGTGGACGCAGCTAAGTTACGGAAACACAAGAAAATTGAGGAAAAAAGGTTCAAGAGAAGGTATTTTTTTTTTAAAAAATCTTTAAAAATAAGAAAAAGCTAAAAGGATGAATAGAAATGATTAGGTGATTAAATAAAATGACAAGAAGCTACAAAAGGTCGATTATTTAAAAATTGGCTTTATACATTAGTATTCCAAAAAAAAATTATAAAAGAAAAAAGCATAAAGTTTCCAAATGATTTTAAAGACTAACAAAATCTTCTAACAAATATACAAGTATTTTTTAAGAAAATACCTCTGTACATCTCTTTTTAGGTTTCATTTATCAACAAACCCAAGGTTTGAAAACATATCCGGCTGTATAGAAGTTCGATGTATTATATTTCTTAACCTCGTGGACCATTTTTACCCTATTTTTTTAGCCCAAGCAAAAGTTCAAAAAAAATCTTTTTTTATTCTTTTTCTAAGCCCTTTTCTCTTTCACTTCTTATGTTTTTTCGCAAAGCTCTCTCCCTTTTTTTTTAATATTAAAAAAATAATATTTTCACATATACCAAATTTACCCCATTTTTCTAGCCCAAACAAAAGTTAAAAAAACATTTTTTTTATTCCTCTCTAAATCTTTTTCGCTTTCATTTCCTATGTTCCTTTTCAAAGCTTTTTTCTTTTTTTTTTAATATTAAGAAAAAAAATTTAATATTAAAAAAAATTTATTTTTTCAATATTGAAAAAAAAGAGATTTGGAAAAAAACATTAGAAGAGAAAGAACAAAAAGGGTTTAAAAAAAAATAGAAAAAATGAAGTTTTTTGAACTTTTGTTTGGGTTAAAAAATGGGATAAAGTTGATCTATATGCCGCCAGGTATGTTTTGAAACAAGCCCAAGTTGCGTATCTCTCTTCCCATCTCTTTTGTCTTTACAGTGCCAAGGCTCGGTTATATGATCTCTCGTTAAGTGGGTGATGTCGAAAGCTTGAAGAGAACGCTCCGGGCTCTGTATCATCCGTTGAACCAGTATGTTGCTCACCTCGACTTGGCTTCTTCGGCAGCTGAGAGATTGGAGCTCGCAAATTATGTTGAGAATCACCCCATTTTCTCTCGGATCGGGAATGTTCATGTGGTTACTAAGGCAAATCTGGTGACCTATATAGGGACAACAATGGTGGCAAATACTCTACATGCTGTGTCGATTTTGTTGAAAAGAGCAGGGAATGGGACTGGTTTATCAATGTTAGCTCTTCGGACTATCCCCTTGTTACTCAGGATGGTATGCCACTTTCTTTCTCTTGAACTCTATTCCTTCATTACTTCCTCCCCTGTTTTTGTGTTTCTTTCTCTTGGAATGAGCATTCTTTGTGTTAGAGAATTGGGGTTTGGTGGGTATCATCATTGTTTTGGGTTGAAGAGCATTATGATGCTATTTTTTCCCTTCTATTTTGGTTTCTTGATTTCTCTTTTTTTTTTTATCATTTCATAATTTGGGTTTCGTTTTATTTTATTTTCTGTTATTCATGGGTTACATTGAAGAACGTTACCTTATGATTCAATTTTTTTTCTTTTCGTTTCTTTTGTGCTGGTTTTGCTGGTTTTAATTCTAGTGAAGTTTTTCATGTTTCATTCGTTTCTTATTTGATAAATTGGAGTTGGGTTTTATCAATATCTTCTCTTTCACCCATGGTCTTCTTTTTAGCTTTTGTTTCTTTTTATCAGTATAGTTGGTTTTTTTTTCCTGCCCTTTTCATCTATTTTGTTTTACCATTCGGAGCTGGGTCTTATGAATTCTAAACAAAATTTTGTCTACACGACTTGGAATAGATCTGCTTCATACTCTCAAGGGTCTTCCACGACATCTGAATTTGATCTATCCATGTTATGATAGGTTCACAAAGCATACTATATTCTTCTATTTCAAGTTCATTTGGTGGGTGAATTTACTTATCTTTGTGCTTGCTTGCCTGCTTTGTAAACAGGTTTCAGAGGGCAAAACCTATCATCATAGATAGAAAAGGGATTTTGGAATTGGTTAGTCTCTTATGATGAAAAGGGGTTTTGGTATTTCATCTATCTTCTTGTCTGCTTGCTTTATTCTCCTCTTGCAAGGAGTAGTTTTTTTTTTCCCTTTCTTCTTCTTGTTTTATCCATTCTTCTCACTGGGTTCTTACTGATGAAGTTGCACGTCGCTCCTTTTCTCAATGAGTCAATGTGATAATTCTGGGTGGTGAATGTTCCAATTGGAGGTTGTGTTGTTTATTCCTTATAAAAATTGATCTCAGCGACAGAGACTATACTGATTAATTCAAGAGTATAGCTGTAATTATGAATCATGTAAGCACTATATGAGGATGATTATTTATATTGGACTGCTCTAAAATATTTTCATTTTGTAACGACAGCCACAACCCTATGATATGATTTGCAGTTGAGATGTATTCATTTTCTTCATTGGGATACATTAGCTGGGCTTGAATCCACAGCCTCAAGTTTGCATTAACTAGAACCTTCTAAATACCCTGTTTTGTAGTTCCCAGTTATCCACATGTTTAACAATTAGGGTGCAGTTCTCATTCATCAAAGAGAAGTTAATGAATAGTATGTGGGACATAGTTCATTCCTCCAAACCGAGGATGATCTCAAGTTCTTTGGCAGTTTTGGTGCAAATTTCGTCTTTTCATGTGTTTCTTTGAGAAAGGCCTCTTTGGATTCATAGGTTCCAGACGTACTCTTTTCAAAGGAATTGTAATTGTTTCAATATTGAATTTTTCTCCTCTTTTCTGGAGGTTGGTCTCCTTGACACCTTATCTTCTCAAGAGAGTGATTTATATTTTAATTTGATTCAATCACTTTATTTTCAATAAAACAAAAATGCCTTAAACTCTTGATTGAAGTATGATAAATAAAAAAGGGCTGCTTTTTTGGGGGCTTCAAGTGAAGGATCAGAGGATGCGATTGACAATGTGTATGGGGAGTCACAATTCAGGGGTTTCAATCCCCCAGACATGAGGATGCACCTCCATAAGTGGATTTGGTGTGATAAGGTGTCTGCCTGTGGTACTCGTTTAGTGACAAATATCTTCAACAATATCTTTACTCTATCACGATTCACGATAAGATCTGATGCCAATAATATTTCTCATACTTTTCTAGTAAGCTTTATTTATTTGTGATATTTGTAGGCTTCATGTGATTATCAGTGATAGAAAAACATTTCCAATACTAACATGTATGTAATGTGAAAGCAAATATAGCAGTTGGAGACTTCGAATTTGAAAGAAAAACATAATTACCTAAAAATAGCTCTAAAATCTCATGCAAGTGTAAGGAGTTTAATAACGGCTTTGTAAGTTAAAGCAGTTAAGATAGAAATGTATTTTGATATTTTAATTTTGAGAAACACTCGAAATTATAGAAATGACTTTTATCATTTATAAGTTTTTTAACATTTATATTTTTATTATGTTTGATTTGAGTTCATATTTAGCAATATTGAAAACGTTTTTTGCATGATAAGTTATATATTGATTTTATATATATTAAAGTCCCGGTAGTTATCTGGCAAATTCTTGATAAAATGCTCCACTGATACTATGCCGATAATGATAATTCTCACTGAATTTAACCTTTTCTCCGAAACAAAAAAAAATCTCACAGAGACACTTGTCCTAGAAATAAAAACGAGTGGGAGGCATTGTGTTCCCACTCTTATGATATGTGGAGGAGCTTTGAAAGGACCATCTTAGATGCTGTGGTCAGTCTTAGCAGCATTTGGAATATAGGGGATCCTGGAAAATTAATTGGTTGAATTTTTATGGGGTGTAGGTTTTTCGTTTTGGCGGGTGTGATGGAGTCTTGGAGTACTCCCTGGCGGCTTCAGGGCAGTACAATCAAATTTCCTTAAGATACTTTTTTGGAGAGTTTAACAGTTATTTATTTATTTACTATCACTGTCTCATGTTTGTCCATCACCCATGCGCTTGTGTTTATCCAAAAGATATTCTACTCCTGTGGGAGTAGAATGTCCATTTACTGCCTCAGGTAAAACTCCACTTAGAATTAAATTTAGGACCCCAAAGTTTGGGGATATAACCTCTTCAACTCACAGATTAACTTCAATAATTTTGTTTTCCTTGTTAAACCCTCTATGCACTTGAAAAAAATAATTTCTCGAGATTGAATAAACACCATCCAATTTTAGATGGTAGATCTAAGTGCTAGATGCTCAAATTGCAATTTTGTTTTTTGAGGATAATCATCTAATAATTATTGAGTGATTCTCAAAATTTCAGATTGAACAAATTTCCTCCCAAGTAGGTCTTCTAAACGAGGGAGTAGAAGTAAAATATGCTCCCGAGGGAGTATAATATACTTGCTCTTGTGCTTCTTGAATACTTTGTAAGGTTATTTCTGTTATTATACAATCGGGAAGTATTTTTTATGCATGTTATAATGGGAGCTGTTATATCATTTTCCCTCTCACTTATTGACCATATGTATCCTTGTTTTAAGAAAGTTTACATCTAACCCCCAACCCATAACCAGCCCCAGGAAAAAAAAAACCGGAACTTTTTTGGCCCCAGAAAACAAAAAAGACCTCAACTTATTTGGCGCATACAGAAAAACTCTTAAACTTTTCACTTTCTTTTCAACATAACTCTCATAT